TACTACATTTATTTTTGAACAGAATTTAAAATTGTAACAATTTCGTGTTTCAAAAAAAATTTTAATTCACTTAAAGTTTTTGTATAGCTAGTTACTGCTCTTGACATTTTTAGTTCCTCAAACATAGTCGGATTTATTTTTTGGATTTTAAAGAGCTCTTTAACTGTAAGCCATTTTGCCCTGAAACTCGGGGGCATTACTCCCGCTAGTACAAAAATCTCATGTTTGCTTGTGTCCGGTGGTAGTCCCACGCACCTTCTCAAAACCATAGCCTGAGCTTTTTCCATATCTTTCCTTGCTCCAACTCCCATATCTGCAAATCTGGTGATAGCATATTCTTGTTTGGATCTAATAAAAGAGTTAAAAATGTTGACGCTCGTTATTGGTTTTAGCCCTGATTTAATTGACGTTGCCATCTGTAAAAGTCTACAACTCTTTTTGTCTTTTCTTTCACCATTTTAACATGGTTGGTGAATGACATGCTTGCGTTTATAATTCTACCTAAAAAGGTAACACATTTACTATTAGGTATTTGGACATTTCCTACTGATATTTTTATTGTGTTTCCCCTATTTCTACCCATGTAAAGAATAGCAGACTTTTGTCTGGACGTTGATATGCAATGACTGTACCATTAAATGGCCCATGCGACACCAAGCTAAAGCCTGTTACGCGCGGAACCCAGCAGAACGCAGCCCTCCTCCCGCCCAACCGACCGAGGGGCGCTGCCGCATGACGCGCGGCGCGATTAACCGAACCGGTCGCGAGCATGCAGGAAATATAGATGTTAGGCTAATATTCGAGGAAAATTAGAGCTAAACATAACTAGACTAGAGCTACTATAGCTAAGCAGGCAAAAATTACCAAAATCACAAACAAGACAAAACTAAAATGAAACTAACTACGGGAGACGTAGGCTAGTATAAGAAATTTAAGAAGAGGAAGGGAGTTAGTTGAGGATATAATGTGGTAGAGGGAATTATAATCCGAGCATAAAACACTAAAGGGTTCGTGTGAGGCATAATTCGAGCTACATAGTGGAAGGAACAAAGGAATAAAGTTTCTAGTGGGTCTAATGGGAATCGTAAAGTTTATGCGGCTCAGCAAGTCAAGTTGTGAACTTGATCAAGTTGTGCACAAAAATTACACCAAGCATTTTTCTACGACTAACTAAGGATGGAAGATTTATTAAAAGAAGTCTACTACGGTAGGATGGCAGTCTCACAGTTGCATCCCAGTTGAGGCCCCGTAGGGCAAATAATAAAAAGTTTTTCTGTACTGATTCAATACGGTCCTGATGTATGTTGTACTGAGGGCACCATACACATGAGCCGTATTCTAAAATCGGACGAACAAGCGAGACTACTTACTAGGGTTAAAGCTGAAACCCAGATCCCCACATAGAAGATTGAAGTCATGCAATTTTCCCTGTAAATTTGCAACAGCCTCCTCAAGATGTTTGCCATGTGAAATAAGGACAACATCATCCGCAAACTGAATTACTAGTGTTTGTGTATACGTTAAATAACAGAGGTGACAGAGAAGACCCTTGTGGTAATCCACCTTGTATCATCTCCACAGCATCACCCATTTTTATTTATTTTTGTTTTTTGAGGTTTTCAGTTACCGCTCTACCCTTGGGTAGAGGTGGATTATTTGGCCGCCCGCCTTTACAAGGGGCCACGTCGAAATATGTAACTTGTTACAGTTTTGCTCCAAAACTTACCTGGAGTAGAGGTTATGTTCCCCACGTGCTTGCAGTGTAATATTAAAAACCTTATTTTTGCAGCGACATTTTTAATAAACAACCAATTAATGCTTTGCGTAATGTGTACCCATTTTCATAACCGGTACTCGAAGAGTAAATAGGGTATTTATATTTGTGTGAATAACGGTTGTATGTAACGCACAGAAGGAAACTTTTCCGACCCCATAAAGTATATATATTCTTGATCAGACTCAATAGCCGAGTCGATAGAGCCATGTCTGTCTTTCCGTCTTGTTTGTCGGCTAGTTCTCAGAGACTATAAGAGCTAGAGCCACCAAATTTTGGCTCCGGACTGCTGTATGCTCACACTGAAACTAGTGTATTTCAAAAATTAGCCCCGCCTCCTTCCGCCTCCTCAAAGGGCGAAAACCTCCCAAACCTACAATTTTGAAGATAAAAGAAAACTAAAACATTCCGTAGGGAATGGCCATATCTATCAGATCACCAAATTGGGATCCGATCGGATCATTATTATAGCCAAAATGAAGAAATTAATTTCCAGTGGCTAAACCCTGTCCCGCAGCTTTTGTTGTTCTTTTCACATTCTCTCATTCACACTCTGCTCCTGCTTCACTCGTCTTCTGCCTCTGCCGTCTTTTAACCCACCCCGTCCCGCAGCTTATATTTGTTTTTTGTGCGCGGGCGCTGCCGGAAGGGCGGCGAGCTAAAGGAGCGTGTTGGTGTGAGAAATGTTGTAGATGTAGATGACAGATGAAGAAAAAATGTAAAATTTGCCGCTAATGTGCAGATGTAGTACTGAGTGCCGGCTATAAAAGTTGTGACTTGTAAGAACCGTCTCACACATACATTGAGTCTTTAATATTTCTGTCTTCCACAGGTATTTGTTCCGTTAGGAATACCAAAAACTCTCCCGCTTTTTCTTGATCAAATATATCAAAATATACCATATCAAAAACTATTGGATGATGCCTCTCAGAAACAATTTTTCGCATTTCCAGTTTTCTATTGTGATTCCTTTCACAGAAGTCAGATCCAATACAGAGCCTACATTTGCATCAATGTTTCTTCTGAAAGTAACACTGTCATCATTTGCCTCTCCTTCTATAACGTATCTTTCAAATAAATCGAGCTTCTCTATGAGCCTGTGTATTGTCTGCTTAAAAATGGTGAGTAGTATCAGGGGTTCAAAGTATGCAGATGAGATGACTAAATTTAGTCCATCTACACTAGTTTTAGCTATTAAAATATCTTAATTGGTTTCAAAAACGATTCTTTTTAGATTTAAATTATTTTTATGAGCGATGGCAACCCCTCCATAGCCATCTTCTCTGTGTTTTTCAATGAGATAATAATTCGCTTTTTTTCTAAAACTAAGATCATGAGAGAACACTTCCACCAGAATGCCAATGCTGACGTTCTCACTGTTAAGGAAATATTCTATATCATTTTTATTTGCTTTAATCGACTGAATGTTATGTTGCAGAAATTTCATATTTGATTTTAATGTTTTACAGGGGTCTGTCTACTTTTGTCTCCCAGGAAACTTGTTTTCATAGCGTTTATTTTATTTTCATGTACATATGTCTGAAAATCTGTTAGATTACTTCTATCAAAATGTTTGCTTATTTGCATGAACATGTTGAACATTTGTTGAAACATTAAACTGAATTCCTCTGTTGGTTTATTTGCGAAAACAGGCTTATGGTCGCTGTTATCGTTTGTATAAGCATCTACTGGAAATGTGGGGTTTGTTTCGGGACTACTGGTTTGTAGACCAATCTGCTAGCATAGCTATGCTTTTTAAGTACCTCGTTTGTTTTTATGTCTCTATTCCGGACATTTTCATTTGTTTTTCCTAATTTTGGAAAATTTACCTCGTAATTTTCCATGTGTGAATAATTTTGATGTACAGAGTATGCACTCAGCACCTCCTTCCTAGCCAATTTTTTAATGGTCATAATTTTGTTAATGTCCATCTCCTTTTCCCATACTGGACATAGCATTCTGCCTCTAGCTGTGTGATTCTTCCCATTGCATAATATACATTTCAACACTGTGCAGGTGCCATTGCAGTCTTCTACACCACACTTTTGGCATCTCCTAGCCGATTTGCATCTGTCAGAGTGTGTCCCAGCCTACCACAGTTAAAACATTGATAAACTTTTGATATGTATTGATGCACTTTCATGCAGCATATTCCAAAAAGAAAAATTTTTTTCCGGAATTTTTGAACCTTCAAAACCTTTCTTAACCGTCTCCGTTGGTATAAAATTAACCTCAGTTCCAACTTTCTCCTTTCTCGAAAATCTTTCTATGGATTTAATAGGTATGTTTGAATTTAAATTTTCCTTTATCGCCTTGTCTGTAAAACCTTGTGGAACTCCTTTTATAATTCCATACGAGCATAGCTCTACATAGCTTTTCGGTATAAATACAACTATGTTATTTATTTTTAACTCAAAATTTGTAACTAATGCCTTTGCATCCTCAAATTTTTCAAAATATATTTTATATAAAGTAGGTGCCATAGACACAATTTCCTTATACCTTTTATTTTCAGATGTCTTATCTTTTCGAACAGAAATAGTCAATTTTTGGTATTTTTATTTTCAAACAAATCACAGTTTGTTGTAGAAACAAAAATCGCAGCATCGCCACTATGGCTCCCACCATAGAAGATTATCTCTCGTTCTATTCCCTCTTTCGTTGCAGTATTCTTTAAGCTTATGTTTTTATTTTTATTTGTTTTTGGTTATTTGTGTTTCCTTTTGTGTCATTTTAATGTAACAAGTCAAAAGTCAAAGTGTCACATATCTCATCAGAACTTTTGTTGCTGCCTGTGTCTGTCCATGTGTCCATGTCAGTAAAAGTCTCTTCGTCTGTCTCTATTCCGTCCATGTGTTCGCGCTCTTGCTTCTTATTTTTGCCGGCATGACTTCACTAGTCAAATTATCCAAATCCCTTATGTTGCAACTCATAGCAAAACACAGCTGATTCGTATGCCTGTGTTAGTTAGATTCCACGCACAAAAGAAATATATTTGTGGTGCTGGATACCAGTCTGGAACACAGCTGCCTTAGAAGTGTAACCGTACGGAATGCGGGTTTCACCTCTGGTCACACTCAGCTGCAAGCAAAACATTGCACAGTTTGCTAGCAAACGTGTCTTTCGATCTGAGTACGAGGCTTTAATAAATATTTGTATTTCATCGGTACGACGTTCTTTGAAAATGAGAAAATTATTTCAGTATATTTTTGAGGGTGAGACCGCATATTTAATCGATAGCGCTGCGGTTCCACTGGTCGGAATAAAGAAGCAGAACAAATAAAACAAACAGTGGCCAAAAACAAAACCGCGAAATATGTCCCCGAAATATACGCACGCGATTGTGGCCAGGTGAGTGAAGGGAAGTTCTCGCTGCAGTCGCCCTCTCAGATCCTGTATCGAAAGCTTCTAAAAGGAGAGTGGGAGAGTGCCTATCATGGGGAAATAGGTCATGCTGTTCATGTGTGATAGGTTGGGTGGGGCATAGGCTGGACATACACCCCCCAACTAACCCACTAGCATATCACGCACTCCAGCACACGCACACCCATGGGTGGGGCGTTAATCAAGTATTTCGTTTAATAGTAGTTAATCGGAAAAAATTCTTCCGCCTCTGTCAAGCAGAATCTCGGAGGCCCTACTCGAGAGCGGACCATTCGATGTGAAGTTGGCTAAACACCAACACGAACAATACTGCACTCTGCTACGGGAGATTGGCCTGGATGTGATTGAGCTGCCGCCCGACGACCTTCTGCCGGAGGGCGTCTTTGTCGAGAACAGCGCGGTTATATGTAATGGAGTGGCCCTCATAGGCCGATCGGATAACGCGAAGCGTCGACACGAGGCCGCAAGCATGGCCATTATTCTGAAGAAAGAGCTTGACATTCCCATTATAGAAATAGACGATCCTCATGCCCGGCTAGATGGCGGGGATGTGCTTTTCACGGGTAAGAGTAATCCCACTCATCTTCCCTATACCATGGAACAAGCGTCAATCTCATGAAGATAATTAATATTTTCACAACTAGGAAGAGAGTTTTTCATTGGCATATCTGGGTGTACCAACGAAGAAGGTGCGCGGGCCGTGGCCATGGCATATCCCGAGTATCCAGTCACACCAATTCGGGTGAGTTTTACCACGGATATTCATATGAAAACTACAACGAAAACAAAAAATATGATTCTATTCATGAAGGCTCAAAGCAGCCCCACAAAAAGCAGGCCAAAATCCACCCAGGAGATTACCAGCATTTATTTTAAGAGGTCTACCAAAACCAAATAATTAAATGTCCATTAAAACGAGAAAGGAAGTGTGAGACGCTTCTTACGCGTCACATCTTTTATACCCGGTACTCAGTAATATATCTGTACCTTGGCGCTTTTTTCAAATTTTACATTTAACACTTTCTACATCTGTCATCTAAATCATCACTTCTCACGCCAACACGCTCTTTTAGCTCGCCCCCTCCTCTAGAGCCGCACACCACACGAAGCGGAGTGTGAATGAGAGAATGTGCAAAAAATAAAAAAAAGCTGCGGGACAGGTTGGGTTTTGCCACTGCAAATGAATTTTTCCATTGTGGCTATGCTAATGATCCAATCGGATCCCAATTTGGTGATCTGGTAGATATGGTCATTCCCTACGGAATGGCGTTTTTATACCCGGTACTCGAAGAGTAAATAGGGTATATTGTATTTGTACGAATAACGATTGTATGTAACGCACAGAAGGAAACGTTTCCGACCCCATAAAGTATATATATATTCTTGATCAGCATCAATAGCCGAGTCGATAGAGCCATGTCTGCCTGTCCGTCTCAGAGACTATAAGAGCTAGAGACACCAAATTTTGCATCCAGACTGCCATATGCTCACACTGAAACCAGTGTATTTCAAAAATGAGGGCGAAAACCTACCAAATCTACAATTTTGAAGATAAAAGAAAACTAAAAACGCCATTCCGAATAGAATGGCCATATCTATCAGATTGGGATCCGATCGGATCATGATTATAGCCAGAATAAAGAAAGTAATTTGCTGTGGCTAAACCCACCCTGTCCAGCAGCTTTTATTGTTTCTTTCACATTCTCTCATTCACACTCTGCTTCTGCTTCACTCGGCCCCTGCCTATTTAAAATTTGACAAAACACCGGTGAGGTGCAGATGCACTATTGTCCCAATGACCAGTTTTGGTGGCTGTTTACGCCAGTTAGCCTAATTATGGCCCGGAGCAATTAGTGTTTTGTATAAGTAAAATGAATTTGTAGCATTAAGTATTGAATTGTTGCATTTACGACATACTGACAGAAGCTTGTTGCTATAGAACATGCATGTGATATGTGAATACGATAGAGAAAGAGGAAGAACATGCATTTAATAGGTGAATATCGAAATTGAAAAGAAGAAGAGATTAAATTGATTTGAATTCCGACTCGGTCGAACAGCAGCACTTGGCTTTTTATTTCGAGATTTTGATTCCGAACTGGTTGCGAGGAGTTGCGGAAACAGTGGCCAAAAGCAAATTTTTAAAAGTTAAAACCAAGACTCGGTTTTTAACGCTCTGTATTAGAAAAAAAAATTACCATCAAAGTTGCGTATAAGAAATTTTCATAGATGGCGCCACTTTCGAAAAATCTGCTGTGAAACCTAGCGGTCATTATTGCACAGAATGTGCAGGGTAAAGTACCAATTTTATTTCTGTTTTAAATATCTCATAAATTGGAAAATACGATTAACTGATGCATTTTATTTAGTAGGCTTTTTACTACGTGTTCTGTAATGTGAACGATATCTAGTGGTTGGCGATGTCTTTTACATCTAGATGTAGTCCTGAGTGCCGGGTATAAAAGTTGTGACGCGTAAGAAGCGTCTCACACGTCCCTTCTCGTTAGTGTTTTTTTATCTTAAAAATTGTAGATTTGCGAGGTTTTCTTCATTTTGCGGGGGCATAGTGTGAGCATACAGACGTCTGGATGCAAAATTTGGTGACTCTAGCTTTTATAGTCTCTGAGATGCAGTGTGTGGGTCTAGGGAAGGGGAGCGAGCTAAAGAAGCGTGTTGGTGTGAGAAGTGTTGTAGATGTAGATGAAAGATGAAGAAAAAATGTAAAATTTGACAAAAAACCGCTAAGGTGCAGATGTAGTACTGAGTGCCGAGTATAAAAGTTGTGACACGTAAGAAGCGTCTCGCACGTCCCTTCTCGTTAATGTTTGAGTACCGGGTATAAAAACAAATTTCAATATACATATGTAATTTTCCATGTCGCGATAATATTATCAAAGTTACTGAAAGAAAATGGATAATTATAATTATTTTGAAATAGACAAAAGCTCACTTTTTTAGTAATTTATCTCCCATGATTATTGTGAAAAGTAATTCTACAAAGTATTTCTAACATATTTAACAGAACTCTAACAAAAATACAATGGTTAAATCTCGAAGAGTTTTGGCTTATACTAGATTTGTGGTCGAAGTTTATAACATGCAGACCCTATAAAGTATATATGAACATATACGGCAATAGCCGAGTCTATATAGCTCTGCCTGGCTGTCTGTCCGTCTTGCTTGTCGCCTAGTTCTTAGACACTATAAGAGCTAGAGAAACCTTATCCGTAGACTTTCCGATACTTTTCTGCACATAAACACTACCCGACACGATTTTTTCTTAGAAATGGTCTGAAGACAATTTTTTTTCCATGCCACCCACATAAAAGACTGACCACATCAGGTCAAGGAAACGACGAAACATGCAGGAGCAGGCTGGTCGTGTGGGGCTGCTTCACTTGGTGAAAATGGTAACCCATTGGCTTAAATCGATGGAATGATGAATACAGAATATTAGATTAGCATTTTGGAAACCAATTTGGCAAATTTTAAATTTTGAAGATTTTTAATGTGCTAAGCCCATACTGGATATCACCTGCCAGCAGAACGGGGACTCGATGAAGGTCTCTAATCTAGAAGTCCACTCAACGAATATATCTAAATCCCATTAAAAATCTACGTGATTTTCTTTAAAAACGAATGGAAAAGTATGAATCCGCACCGAAGGGAATGCATGATCTTTAGGTGCGTATACAAACCAAGTGGGACATAATATCTGGCGAGGACATTAATAATTTAGGCGAGAATATACCTAAGCATATTCTGAGTGTGATAAATGCTAAGGGCCTTTGCACAAAACATTTTGAAAAATTTATGAATTTAGAAAAATGGAAACGTGCAAAAGTGGATATTGACTTCTTTGACAATAAATAAAAACTTTGAATGAAGCCGATCGTTTTTGTTTAAATTATCATTTTGTTTCATTGCCAAATAACTAAAGAAGCTATTAAAAATAGAAGTAGAAAAATGTACTAATATTTACAGATTTTACAGGCGTACAACTTCAAAGTTGTAAAAAAGTATCCTCAAATGCTCGCCACTGTATGTATGTGAAAAAACAAACTGCTACCGCTCAAAAACCCTTAAAATATACCAGACTTTAAAAATTGTTAAAAAAAAAGATTAATAATTCATTGAACAACTTTAATGCCCGATATCTATCAGAACGAGAAGGGACGTGTGGGACGCTTCTTACGCGTCACAACTTTTATACCCGGCACTCAGTACTACATCTGCACATTAGCGGTTATTTGTAAAATGTTACATTTTTTCTTCATCAATCATCTGCATCAACAACACTACTCATGCCGAAACGCTCCTTTAGCTCGTCACCCTCCCCTATAGCCACATACTGCAGAATCAGAGCAGAGACGCGGCAGAGGCAGAGACGTGTCTGCGCGAAGCAGAGTGTGAATGAGAGAATGTGCAAAAAACAAATATAAGCTGCGGGACGGGGTGGGTTTAGCCACTGAAAATTAATTTCTTCATTGTGGCTATAATTGTGGCCCAATTTGGTGATCTGATAGATATGGTCATTACCTACGGAATGGCGTTTTTAGTTTTCTTTTATCTTCAAAACTGTAGGTTTGGGAGGTTTTCGCCCTTTGAGGAGGCGGAAGGAGGCGGGGCTAATTTTTGAAATACACTAGTTTCAGTGTGAGCATACAGCAGTCCGGAGCCAAAATTTGGCGGCTCTAGCTCTTATAGTCTCTGAGAACTAGCCGACAAACAAGACGGACGGACGGACAGAGAGACATGGCTCTATTGACTCGGCTATTGAGTCTGATCAAGAATATATATACTTTATGTGGTCGGAAACGCTTCCTTCTGTGCGTTACATACAACCGTTATTCGCACAAATACAATGTACCCTATTTACTCTTTGAGTACCGGGTAATAAAAAGTCGGTTTGGTTCCTTGAGGAAAAAAAGTTCGATTTTGTCGAGTAGTGCAATGTGTAACAATTACAGGACATTATTTAAATATGAATCGATTTTCCTGTGCCTTAGGTCAATGGATCGAAACGTTTAAAATACTACGTCACCATGGCCGGCCGGGATGTTTTGTGTGTGAGCAAGAGCGCACCGTGCCAAGAGATCGTGAAACGGATGGAGCGAGAGGCCAGCTTCACTTACCAGAAGCTAACGCTACCCGAGGAGAGTGCGGCCAATATGTTGTACATAAATGGAACCATTGTCCACAGATCCCCTACGGAAATTCCAGATGCGTACAAGGTGCACAGAAATACATGCATGCATAAAAATATACTTACGTACATACAGATGTACATATGTACATAAATATTCAATTGGTTCGTTTAAACTTTATGTGTTTTTTGCAGACTTTGAAAGAAAAAATTGACATTCCAACACGCAATATAAACATAAGCGAATTTAGTCAATACTCCAGTGGGCTGACCTCTTCCTGCCTCTTGCTACGACGCTGGAAGTCGATACGGAGCATCTGAAAATATTAGAGTATTGTTAACATTTACCCCGATAGGAGAAATTGCCATCAGAAACACGCACAGCCAGCACTATGTGACACCATGTCCATCATGGTGACATCTATCAGCAATATCGTATTATATTTTACACATTTCTTGTTATTGTTCTAAATTTAAGATAAAATATTTAATATTGATATAAGCGAAAATATGTTATGATAATTGGGGTTGATCCCATTTGGCATTTTTAACCATTTTTTATCCCATTTGGCGTTATTTTTTGAGTAATCAAAACCAAAACCAAATCATGATGATCATTCCTTGCTCCCTTTCGGAGCTGAATCAACAAAACAAGTTACCTTATAATTACTATATGCAATTATGCATTGATCTGTGTATACATATGCATGTACATATATACATATGTACATTTGTACATTTGCTTAACAAGAAGTTGAGTTGTATTCTTAAAATAAATGCCAACATTTGTAATCTCTAATAGCGTTTGCTCATTGCGATGTCTATCTACCATGTACTATGTTGACCGAAGACTGAAGGAACTTATACATCCGAATATAAATACGTTGAAATTCAATGTCTTAATGCTGCACACAGAGCTTAAAATCATTACCATACATACATCCTAAGTACATATTAATATGAGTACGGAAGGCAGGTACATAGATGGCTGCCTTTTTGTACAACAAAAATAAACATAAGAGGTGAAGAGAGTTAGTTTTTGAAGGGGACTCTTTTTGACCTGGAATAAAGTTAGCCGGGAGTACATCTCAAAAGAACCCTAAAAGGTCAAGCTTTTGTGCTAGGGAATCGTTTATAGATTCGAATGATTTACCTAAATCTGTAAGCATAACACATTTGTGGTTGTTGATTGTCTCATAATTCCGTGCTTAGGTGGAGATTTAAGCGATTTTTAGAGATGTTGCAAGTGTGGAGTTCAAATTATCTCAAACCATTTATGAATAGCAAATACATACATACCAAAGAAACTTTTTTAATTCTGTGCGTCAGAACAAAAAATAATTAAAGAATTTTCTTGCAAATTAGGAGCATGGCGAAACAAAGGTTAGGATGGGGTTAAAGTTGCACTAATACTAATATTTCCAAGGAATTTTTCTTGAGGCTGTTTTGAAAGAGGGTCTGGACGTCGTTAGTCCTATTTACCAAAGACAAATAGTACCTGGAATGTTGAATACAGAAATAACTATTTACATATGCCTATTATCTGATATCTTGGAATAAACAGTTCTTATGCCGACAGGTGCTGCTCGTAAATTTAGGTATCCGAAGTCGGTGGACTATGCGAACGAGTAACGAAATTAGAAAGACCGTGAACAATCAGTCTTAGAAGAATTAATATAAAAAAACTCTCATATCCATAATCAATTCCACTGATGCTGATAGCATAATTTAGAGAAAAATTTAAATTATTAGTGGCGCAATGTACCTTTTCCCCGTTATGCGGGATATCCTTCATATGTTTTTGTCCACTATTATATGTACATTCCTCTTTCTTTCCATATCCCTACCCTCTACCTCATGCTAATAGCATTTTCCTACCACTCTTTGAGGATCCTGTTTTTCTAGATGGCTTGAAATATATGGACATATCATTCTCTGCGGGACCAGATAAAGTGCCAAGTTGAATTTTAAAACACTGCCTAAACGATTTGCCAACGCTTTACCTTCCAGTTTAATTTATCGTTGGAACACAGTTGTCTTCCTGATATATGAAATAAGTTCTTCATCATTCCGTTTTATAAAAAAGGTTCCAGATCCAGCATCCCCATCCCCAAGCTCCTTGAGTTCCTGGTCACCCGGCAATTGCAATATCTTTGCTCTAGCTTGACTAACCTTCTTGAGCTGTCTACCATAAGCAAACGTTGTTTTTAAAGCGGTTTGCAAACAATCGTAATTTTTACGGATTTTAGCAAGGCATTTGACTCTATGAACAATACCCTGCTAATCCTGAAGGTTCCTGTTAGGTTACAAATGTGTATCTGATATCGTTTATGTTACATCAGGAGTGCCACAGGCTAGTAATTTCGGACCACTTCTGTTCATTATACCCGGTACTCGAAGAGTAAATAGGGTATATTGTATTTGTGTGGAATAACGGTTGTATGTACCGCACAGAAGGAAGCGTTTCCGACCCCATAAAGTATATATATTCTTGATCAGCATCAATAGCCGAGTCGATAGAGCCATGTCTGTCTGTCCGTCTTGTTTGTCGGCTATTTCTCAGAGACTATAAGAGCTAGAGCCACCAAATTTTGGCTCCAGACTGCTGTATGCTCACACTGAAACCATTGTATTTCAAAACGCCATTCCGTATCATTATTATAGCCACAATGAAGAAAATAATTTCCAGTGGCTAAACCCATCCTGTCCCGCAGCTTTTGTTGTTCTTTTTACATTCTCTCATTCACACTCTGCTTCTTCTTCACTCGACCTCTGCCTCTGCTCTCCCCCTGCCGCTGACTCTGCAGACTTTTAACACACCCCGTCCCGCAGTTTATATTATTATTTTTTTTTTGCAGGCGCTGAAGGGGAGCGAACTAAAGGAGCGTGTTGGAGTGAGAAGTGTTGTAGATGTACGTAGATGACAGTTGACGAAAAAATTAAAAATTTGACAAAACACCGCTAAGGGGCAGATGTACTACTGAGTGTCGGGTATAAAAGTTGTGACGCGTAAGAAGCGTATCACACGTCCCTTCTCGTTTTATTTGTGAATGAGCTTTCCCAAGGCAGAACATATGCCACTACTTTAATGTACATATGTATGCTCGTCAAAATCTGTCACCCTACGCTAATTGGTGCTTGCAAACACGCCTTCAACTTGACCTTACCTATGAATTACTAATTTAGGGTTAATTTAATCTACCTTTTTTTGAACCCTTCTTATGACATTCTACTGTCGAACTGGAGTTATATTTGATCATAAACTGTGTTTCAATAGTCATACACATATCTGCAAAGCAATAAGGCTAAGGGTGTTTTAGAGTTCATCAAGCGTTGGTCCAAAGAGTTTGACAAAAATATTGTATATTTCGCTAGTCCGACCGATTTTGGAGTACTGCTCTTGTGTATAAAGTATAAAAAGCAACAGGCTATCCTCGAATCACTGCAACAAATTGTTTAATTTTCGTCCTTTGTAATCTTAGTTGGGACTCTGGTCGTGAAATGCCTTCTAGGCTACAACTAAAAGACATGCCTTCATTGCACAATCGCCGAACATGCAGTGGTGTTATGTTCGACCCACCTGAACTTTTCGAATCATTCGCTTACCCTTAGCTAGGTCTAACTATGCCCAACATGATCCTTTTAGGTTTTTATGCCATAATTTAATTTTCATTAAATTCCCATTCCCAACAGAACGATTATCGGGCGTGTTCACCAGGACAACTTGATCATCAATCTATGATCCAAGGCAGTGTTCTGGTTTTGAGTAATGGTGAACGCTTCCGATCCATACCTTACCATCGCGACTTCGTAAATTCAATCGGCTTAGAAACTGAGGATATTGGCACAAGCAGCTGCTCGTTTTTCGTTTGCTTTTTCCTTCAATTTAAGCCCATGCTAATCATCTCCCACCACCGTCGCTAGTACGGCATTGCACACTGAGCTCGTGGGCATATCAAATTGGAACATTTCTTCCATGAAAACTAAGTATCATTTCATGATTTGTCTTTTTTACGTTCTTCTTTTGCGTGATCTTGTCCATACACATATGTACATACATATGTATGTTTGTATATCGGCTTTCGATATGAGCCAAAAGCAATGAGTTTAATGGATCGCACTTTTTCCACGATCCATTTCCTAAAATCCGATCCATGAATTGTTGTATCAAAAACGCTGATCAAGTGCGTTCACCAGGACGTTCACAAGAAATGGAGCATGGATCGGTGATCAAGTTGTTCTGGGGATGCGCCAATTAACTTGTTGGGCATTTCTCTATAATATAACATGGTGTGTGATGGACAGCAAGCAGGCGATAATGATCTGAACATTGCGAGTCGTAGTGACACGAGTGACACTTAGTTTCTCCACTGATAGTTACCCACATATAAATATGTACAGGCATATGCATGCATGTATGTGCACATGTATAAAATGATAAAGTTATGAGGCAAGAAACAAACTGTGTCTACAACCGGAACTCTTCCCCTAAATATGTACATATGTAAATATATGCTATGTATGACTGTATATCTACATCCATGTACATATGCAGTCTCCTGAATAGTGGCTTTGCCATCAAAATTCAAATGCACAAACCAGAGACGCATTTAATTGGACTGTGAACATTTAATTTGTGTAAGTGTGAACTTAATGTATGCATTATTATTTAAATGCATTTGGTTTTACCCAAAGCTTAAGGCTTAAGCATATCGGATGAGAAAGGGAAGGGAAGGGAATGGAAATACAAGTATTCTATTTCAATAATGAAACAATCTCATGATGGGGTGCAACGAAAACACGAACAAAAAGATGTGGCTGATCAAAAGTAGTTATTGTAGCTATAATAAATAGTGTTTGGGTTGGGAGTGTGTCTTTTCCTATAATTACAAATTCATGTGGCTGGTCTTCACAACAGGGAGGCGCCTCACAAATGCAGATGGGTTGAGATTGATGACGAGAATGCACACCGTGCCCATATGTACATATGTATACCCTGTAGTATCAGTTTGTGCCTGGTGGTAAGGTGAAATTTGTATCAAACTTAGGCTATAATGATGAAAATAATACTTTGGCATTGGCACTTGGAAGCTTCCGGCCAAGCACGGAGGGAGATGGAATAGGTCATAGGAATTGGATACTGGATACTGGACTTGGGGCACAGTGTATATCTTCTGTATATACATAACTATGAGCTAAGTGGGTCAAGAGTTTAAAATGGTCGGTTAAAAGGAGTATGGAACTGAGGCTACGGTGCGTGGTCCACTTACGAGCTAACTAGGATAGCCTCGGGGCTCATTGCTGGCCCTCGGATCGATGTACGATATCACGCTACTCTGGCTACTGTCATCTTCGATTGTTTCATTGAGATTTTCGTGCGATTTGCTACTGCTGCTTACTATTATCGCGCTGTTCCTCTTTGCATCCGAATCGGCATCCGCATCCGCATCCACATCAACCGACTCCAGCTTAATGTGCACCTCTCTCTTTTTCTGACTCTGCTCTCTCCTTCTCTCGTTACCCCTATCTCTGTCCCTCTCGAATCTTTCGCTTGAGTCTATTTCCTGCCTGTTGCGCAGGGGACTTCGACACTTGATGGCCTCGTACAGCTCATCGATGGATGTGTCATGGTCGTGGTCGAGGTCGAGGTGGTGGTGGTGCTGAAGCTCCTGATCTGCGCTGCCCGGCCGATCTCCAGTA